AGGATAAAAAGACAAAAAAAACCATGCAAATAAGTTCAAACATCAATTCAATATCTATTATTTCCTGAATATTATGAAATTCAAGATGGCCGCCCCCTAATGACGTCATAATATGCAAATTAAACAAGTATATTTACACCCCACATAAACTTTCGGTCATGCCCAACATTTTTCTAATTTACAGTAGATCTCGATCTTTAAGCCCTTTCAAGCCACAAGCTTTTGAAATCTTGATGTCAAAATCCAGCATTTTTCTAAAAATCCCTGGCGCCTAAAAGGTTAACATTATTAGCTAGACGGTGCATTCTCCTGCTGTGGAAACAAAAATTCCCTCTATCTTTCAGTGACTGGATGAGAGATGTCATGAGCTTCATTCATTTGGAAAAAATTAGGTATACGTTAAAGGGCAACACTGGTATATTTTCTGAGATCTGGGATCCCTTCATTATTTTTTTTTCTGAATATGTCAGTACTACTTCTTAGAGTGTGTCAACCAAAGCATTAAGATGTTAATATGACTGTGGCCTGAATCTGGTTAGGAGTCTGTGATTATATGTGTAGATACTTACGTAAGTATATGTATATACTTTAAAGCTGTAAGGTTTTGAAATATTTTTTCATGATTCTCCTGTATCTGTATCCTGTTGTTATTGTAAAAGTTCAATAAACAGATTTAAAAAAAAAGAAATAATAATAATAAAAATAAAAATGTTTTGGTGTAAGTTAAAGGCAATTTTTGATCTACAGGTGAATATATTGAATCAATACATTTAAAGAGAAGTAATTTCTTGACAGTTAAAAGTGTAACAGCCCACTGAATCAGACTTAATGCCGACAACAACTGAACCACTTGGGAGAGAACTGTCAGGAGACATTTCTTTGCACAAAAGAGGACGATGGTACAAGAGGAATACCAAATCATGGTTATAAATGTGAAAATATAGCAAATTTAACAAGGAAATTCAAACATAATGGACTTATAATGGTACTTATAATATAAATTAAAGGTTACAATTAACTGATTTGTATAAAAAATTAAACTGCTCATAAGGCAGTTTTTTTCATAAGAACAATTGAATGATATAATTGTTTCTACTTGTTTTTCTGAAATATAAACATTTAAACAGTGGCTTTTCATGATGGATTTATTCAAGCAAACATTTAATATAGAAAACAGCATAAGCAAATATATAAATAATATATATTGATATAGTACATATATTTAGCAAAATTCTCCTCAAGTTAATGTTTTTCTAGCTTAACTATCGAGCTATGCTCATTGAACAGCTTTTCTAAGATAAATGTAACATTGTGACAAGCTGTTTTATTGATCTCTTTCTGAGGTTCAAACACATACCGATTGATTATGAGACATAATGCACTTTGTTAAATTGTACTGTATCTTTCAACATACCTTCTGAGGTTCATTCACGTTTATTTTTGTTCTTACCTTCTGGCCCTCACCGCTGGCCAGATAGCAATGACCCAAAACAAAACGATAGGATCCCACATTCACCTGGCACCAGGGCCCAACTAACCAAACATATTCCTGTAGAGAGGCAAGACACAGTGACAAAAAGGTTAAAAAGTCATTTTAGGCATTAACTAGAAGTATATTATTTAAATTGTTATTTTGTGTAGAGTAACTGCAAACTACATATAATAATAAATAGATGAACAAAGTTCTCAGCTTGATTTGAATAAGTAATAAAGACTAAACTCTTAACTTCATATTGACCCCATCTGTCCAGTCACATTCAGTGGTCCACTATAAAAACTACACTGAATCAGCTGTGTACTGTATGTGCATGCAGTATCATATTTAATGCACCCTTGACACTGGAAGTCCAATACTGACAGGAACTGAGCAAAAAATGAAGTTGGACAGCAGTAGAAATATTCAAACTTAGGTACTGTAAACGTAAAACAAAGTTTTTAATTTACCAGTCAAACAAGCTCATTAAAAAACTGGCAGAGTGAGTGATCAATGAACAGTGTAATCATTTCAGAAAAAGTTGTCTGTGTTTAGCTTGACGTTAAGTAGCTTAAAATGTTCTAGAAAGAGTTCTGACTCAGAAGAACAGTAATAACTATTTAAAAGAGTAACATTTTCTGCACTCGCTGCCACAATGTCACAACCGCTTTTATTTTTCAAAGCAAAAATTTTTTCATTTCAATAAAAAAAAATTACTTTTAATCCATCATTGAAAAAAAAATTCTTCATCTGATGTTCACCTCCAAACAATGTGCAATATGAGGTTATGAAAACAAGGTACATGTATATACGTAGGCTATACAATCTGCAAACAAAGGGTTAAAAAAACATTACATTCTAAACCAAAATAACTACTGACTGATTACTATCTTAAAACAGAAGTTAAAATCACTAAATCACTGAAATCACTAAATTAAAAAACATGATATAAGCACAGACTAAATATTAGCAGGTACGAAGAACACAAATTCACTCATCTGAAGACAGCAATTATATTACATTTATACTTCATTAGCATAGTTCCTTTATTTTTATCAGGACCATATACAATCCAGCAAAGTGATAAGTGGTGTCTCACCTGCAGCTGTGCATACTGGCAGTTTACCATCAGGCATTCAGGAAAGAGGAAACTGGGATTGCTGGGCCAGCTAGTGAATGATGTAAGGGAAATACTGAACACATGAATTACACCTCACCCAGATGCTTTACCATCAAGAATTGGCTGAAAATATCAAGTGTCTAGTAGTGACCTCAAAAGAACCAGGTCGATACTAAATTGAGAACCGATATTGAATACATGCAATGAGCTGACTGACGGGCGACCGCTTTATAATGCTCATGTGCAGATGTAAGTAACAGGCACCCGGGACATGCGGCTGTGGAAGTCTCTGCTTGTATAATGCAAAATGCTTGTATGACACAAAAATTATGTACACACAGTTATGTCTAAAGGGACTATAAACACGGTGTTTCTTTGCTTTTCTGTATTACTATTTTTTTTTCTTGAAATATTCTGGGGCTATATATATGTATATATATATTAGGGGTGGAACGGTTCAACTTACTCACGGTTCGGTTTGTATCACGGTTTAGGGGTCACGGTATCGGTATGGTTCAGTATGTACTATGTTTGAGGAAAAAACTATACTGTCAAATAAAAATAAAGAAAATAATAATAATCTAACTACAAGCAACCGCACAAATAAATACAATAGGGTAAAGATACAAACAAAATAAACAGTGATTTTCAGTTTTTTTTAGGTAGGTCTAACATTAGTTTTCAGGTACAGAAATTGAATAAAGTAATGAAATGTAACAGCATTGCATATTTGACTGTATAAATTAAAGATGAATCTTTATTAAAGCTACAAAAGCTATTCAATCAAGAGCAGTGAGTGATTTCTTTGCCGTTTGATTAATATTAAGAAAGTGCTGTCACTTGATCCAGTGCACTGATACTGTACGTTCAGCCGACTATGACTGCTAGGATACTCATCAAGATGGGCATTTTGACAATTTTTGTGTGAATTTGTCCATTTAAACAATACTTCAGAGAAAGCTTAATATTTGCGCGCGTTCTGAGGCACGTGTTTGCGCGCTTCGGATGAACGCATGCACAAATCTTCTCACTGTGCGCGCGAGCTCGCGTCCTCTGGCTCTTAAATGTTTAAACTGGCAAAGCTTAAACGAGTTTAGCTTAAACACAGATATCAACGTGTGCTGTTCAGGTCTCACCTGTGCGCGCGTGCTATCAGCATCACCGGGTCATATTCCAGCATACGGCAGTCGCATTGAACAAGAGTGAATGGTTTGTCCACGTTTTTTTTTTTCATCGTTGTTGTTGTAATGTATTGGGAAGCCAGAATGCGCATCCATCAACAGAAACATATATTAGCCGAACCCTGTTTGTTTTACGCGTTACGTAACGTACGGTTCGATTTTTTAAACGCAAACCGTTCCACCCCTAATATATATATGAAAAGTTTTTTTTTTCTTTTTTTTGCATTTACTTTTCCACATAGTGCCAGGCAGGTTTGGACAGCTTTTTTCCTTAATACATGAAATAATTATTTCAAAACTGCATTTTTTATTCACTTGCAATATCTTTGTGTAATATTAAAATTTGTTTGATGATCTGAATCTTTTTAGTGTGACAAATATGCGTGAGACAAAAAAAAACAAAACAGGAAGGGGGAAAAAAACTTTTTCACACACCACTGTGTGTGTGTGTATATATATATATATATATATATTTTTTTTAATTTACTTAAAATTCAATTATAAATTTAAGTATAAATGAAATATTCAAAATACAAAAACAGTTTTGGTATCGAACTTTGTGTTAAATTTCATTTATATTGGTACCGACTACTGGTACTTTTGGTATCATGCCAACACTGGTGTCCAGCATACTGCACATCAAGAGGATACAGAAACTGGCAGAGTAGTGTCAGGACACTGGAGATCATTTGTGGCCAGTGCAACATGGCCTGACTGCCCTCCACATCCTGCTGGGAGAGCATCTGAGACATGATGGCTTTACGGGCCACATTCTGGTAGAACAACTCCACCACAGTTGGAGGATTCAACACTAAAAACAAGAGAGAAACAACATGGCGAGGTACAGTCAGCATTCTCATCAGCAGGCACAGACTGTCTGTACTGAGGCATTTAATTCATCTTACCTGATCTACTGGATGTAGGAGTTGAGGAGTCGGACAGCTCCAAAACAGACAGGTGCTGAAGATCAGCATTTCTAAAGAGAGAAAAATAATGCATGAAATAATGCCCTTAAATACACCCAGGAACAATTCTCAAAGATGAACCAAAATAAAATGCAAGTCTATGTATTATCTCTTATTAAAAAAAATAAAATAGTGCTGTCAAACGATTAATCACGATTAAACGCATTTACATACTATGTAATTATTATAATAATTACAATAACTAGGTAATAACTAGGTACTAAACCTGAACCTACCCCTAAACCTAACCCTAGCCCATGTAGTTACCTTATATTACCAGAACTTTCTTAGGTAGGTTTACTGCAAGTACACTGTAAGTACATGTAAGTACATGTAAGTACACGTACTGTAAAATAGTGCAACCGATGTGTGACATTCAGGGATTGAAATTAACGTTTTCACGCACCAGCCAATTTGGCTACTAAATTTTTAAGTTACCGGCCATTCATAATGTCTACTAGCCAAAATAAAAAAAAAACAAAAAAAAATAAACCAACAGCTTGAGGCGGTCTACACTGAACGTGACAAAGCAACCGTTGCAAATCATTTTGTATCAGAACTAGGGGTGTGCGATACTGACAAAAAATAATCTCAATATTTTCTAGAATTTTATCGATAAAGATAATTAGACCATATTTTGCTGAGTGTGTTATTGTGCTGATATCTTAAGGACTACCGTGGACAGATGACTCCTAAAGTTTTTGATATATTTCTTATTCTGTGTGGTCAGTTCACAGCAGTGAAAGAAATGAATCTTTTCCAATAAGTTTAAATAGATTTTTACCTTTTATGTGCATTTTTTAATTTTTACATGGAATGCTTTAACCTGCAGTTACAAATGCATAAATAATGTTTTAATATTTTAAACATGAAATGAATACTGATATTTGAAATTATTTTAAAAATGAAAAGATACATTAAATGTAAAATTAAAACAATTAAAACGGCCAGTAGGTGGCAGCAAGTCGCTGTTAATAACTGAGTCATTGCGATTGAACCGACTCATTTAAACGGTTGATTCATTCAGGAACGAAACACCATCAAGTTGCTCAGAGACGTGAAACAGTGCTGTGGCTGTGTTTGGAATTAGTAGAAATAGAGCAAAAGCAGGCATGGAATATAAAACATAAGTCTCTTAATATTAACTTATTGTTTATTGAACTGTTGTATAAAATCAATATCACATTTGTAACCATGCAGATTTTTTTTTTTTAACGGCACTCTTCGTGTGATATTGATTAACTATATGAAATGATATATGAGCAATATCACTGGAGTACGAGAGCGATACCGGCTCTATATCAGCATGGCTGTGATTAGGCCAGAGGCACGAGGCAGGAGGCAATCACAGCCGCTGATATAGAGCCGGTATCGCTCGAGTACAAGAGTGATATTGCGTTTATACAACAGCTCGACGGAACATGTGTGTAATTAAACAAGAAACAACGGAGTGCCTACGGAGTGCCTAATAAAACCCTCTTTTGTGCGGAACTACTTCCTTCCGCCACGGATTCAAAGCTCAAGTTGACAGTTAAACATACGTCACTTTTAGAATTCGTATCAAGGGCATGTGCTACTTCAGTTAGGTTATTAGTAAGAAATAATGAGGTTATAAGAGAGCAACAATGCAGCAAGATGTGCATCCAAATGAGAGAGAGAGAGAGACCGCGAAGCTAGTTTTGTATACCTATTAAACTTTATGCAAGTTATTTGTTATTTTATATTAGGCACAGCCTGCCCTATAGCATGGTGTATTTTTATTTGTTTTGTTAATAAAAGTTCTATGTTTTATATATAGGCTAAAGTGCATGAGTTTGACATTGTATTTTGTTGTTGCATTCAAGCAATTGACGCCGAACTGCCGCTAATTCGAAGTGAAAGTAAAATGCGCACAGCGCTTTTAAGCTATTTAAAAGCAAAGGAACGCGAGGAAAAGAGGGAAAATTCAAACAAACTAAAAACGAGCAATTGATTTACTCCGAATTGCCGCTATTTGAAAGTGAAAGTAGAATGCGCACCGCACTTTTACAAGCCATTTGAAAGCGAAGAAAAGAGGGAAACTCAAATGAACTAACACCCCCCCACCCCAACGGTGATACCGGTATTACTGGTGTTGTCACACGTCGATTAACCGGTGGGAAAATTTCCTCACCGTCACAACCCTACTTCTTAAACAGAA